GTGAGGAGAAATAGGATTAATTAACGTTGAGTTGTGGTTGCTTAGACGGTGCCGAATTATCGTCACTGCCGGAAGAAGATAGAAGAAAGCTTAATCTTCGGTTGGAGCGCGGCAATACCCAAAACCGAAAGTTGTTGTAGCCGAGCCTCCAGTGAGGGTCCATGGTCCGGCATGATGACGACCACACTGTATACATTCTCACTAATTATTGTATTATCAATTAAGCAGGAAAAGAAGAAAACAGCGATATCTCCTCCATGGGCGGATAGCAGAAGCAAGAAAGACGATAAAATGGGTGGACACAATTTAGATATATATATACAGTGACACACACGTGGCCGGTATCTGACCAGCGTATGGATTTTTATTAGAGTGATGGAAAATGTAAATGAAATATTTTTAGAGGAATTTGCACCCCTTACTTCCCCATATGAAATATATTATAATTATGCACCCCTTTTACAAATATTTCTATAATTACCAAAACAAGCCTAATTATTTGCTATTATACCTAAACAGTAAAATTAAGTAAATTATATCAGGTAATTAAATACATCAGATAATTAAGGGAACGTTACTGATTTTACGGCAGTTTTGAATGCACTCAATATCTTTTCAACAAAAAAACCTCCCACTCCCACCGCCCACGTTCACCGTCGTGCACAGAAGGAAAACTGAGTAACCGAAGATACTCCAATGGCGAAGACAAAAATCGCTCGAGATCCTCGAAAAAAAACGGCGAACGAAGATGATGAAACACCACAGATAAGATCGAGTTCCCGTCTTCGTAAGATCCACGCAAAATCCAAACCCAAACTCGTGCAGAAGAAGCTCGTTTTTGAGAGAAATATGAACCCTAAACCTACTCGCAAGCCCACTGGCAACGCAAGAGTGAAGAAGAACATTTCATCCCCTGATTCAGACGACTTCCAGTCCAACGACTACCGTAGAACTCAAAAATCTTTTCGTCTTCACCGTAAATCAAAAATCCCCAATTCCACTGAAAATGAAAAATCTTCTGACACCGACTTCGAAGATGAAATTCAACCCGAAGACGTCGATAGCGAGGGATTGGAGAGCGACGAAGAATCCCCGGTCGAAAATTTCAAGAAAAGAATCAACAAAAGGCAAAAACAAGAGAATGATGCAGTTCAGAAGAACAAGAAAAAGAGAAAACGTAACACCGGCGTCCCAAGTGGCATGCAACATGTTCAGAAACAGATAGTGTATAAGGTAAATTTTCTTCTACATTCCATTTTTTTCATTATATTTTCTCATCTGAAAGATTATTAATTTGTTTATTGATTTTGTTTATTGATTATCAACTATATCCTTTTGTCAGTTGAATGTGTGTATGTCAATGAATAAATCGTCATGGGTACCTCCAAGATTTTTGGTTGACTAAGCATGTTATGTAGTCCTATGTAGTCCCAGAGTTTAATAATCTTGCCCCTGTGCACTAACAGGGGTATATAGGAATTAGATTCGTATGTATATAATAGGTGAATCAAATGACTGTATTTTTGTACTATTTTTCAGTGTGAAATGATATAATCACTTGGGTTAATGTGTATATTCCAAGTAAATAACACTGTTGCCCCTTTTCACTCTTCCTATTTGGTTTTGGATATCTGCATCATTTGTTCACATAACTTACAGTATGGTATATTTTCTAGCTAACTATCCATGTTAATGTGCAAGTACTTATAAATTTTATGGTATAGCTAAGTTACCTGTTCATTTGCAAGTACATATTGTCAGTACTATGGTATTTTTTAAGTTTTTTTTTAGTATAAGCTCATATAATATGTGGTCACATATACCACACATATAAACTGAATATATATCATTTTCTGGTATATCTATCTTATATTTTGTTCTGTAATATACCACATATATACCATGTTCATTTGAAAATAACACTGTTCTGTAATATACCACAAGTATATTAGTATCCAAGTAAATAACACTGTTGCTCCTTTTCACTCTTCCTAATTGGTTTTGCATATCTGCATCAGTTGCTTATCATGATATATATAAAATAATGCCCAACTGTTGCTCTTTTATATCTTAAGTATATGGTCTGGTTTATCTTCCTTTACATGTCATGATAAGTATCTGGTATAAATATACTATGAATATAACAAATATATAATCAGTCAGGTATGATAAGTATATGGTATATCTATAAACAGGTATATTACTCGGGTATATTAATTCCTTCTATATTAATCAATCAGGTATATTACTCAGTCCCTGTCCCTGTCACTTTTTTTTTTAACAGTATATCTATCTTATATTATGTAGAGCCACATCAGGTGGCAGTATATGATAAGTACATGGTGTATATATAACAGAAATATACCAAGTATATAATCAGTACTGTAAGTGTTAACATATTGTAAGTTATGATATGGTCCTATATTATAAGTTACAATCAATACTGTAAGTTGTATCATATTGTATCATATTTGTAAGTTATAATCATGTATATAAAAATCCATATTGTTTTGTTTTCATTATTTTCATGAATGGGAACTGCTAATCCCGCACCCCAGGGATATAAACGTGAAGGTGCAAAACAGTAACGATAACAACAAGGAAAAATGCACGATAAGTGACATCAAGAAGATGCTTACCAAGGAGCAATTGGAAGCTTTTAGGATGTTAGCCTTTGGGAAGTTCTTGGATCTCCCACACTGCATTGTACAGAACCAACTCATCAACTATATACTCCTACGCGAGGTTCATCAGAGTAGGACTGATGAAATTTGGTTCAATTTCGGAGGGAAATTCCTCCGATTTGGTATAGAGGAATTTGCTGTCGTGACTGGTTTGAAGTGCACTGGACATAGTAAGAAATTGAATATTCCAAAGATTGCCGGTGGTCTGCACGACAAGTATTTTGATGCTGTGGAGTTAAGCAGGAGTCACATCAGGTGGCAATTTTTGAAAAAATTGTGGGCGAACGATGAAGATGCAGTGAAATTTGCTAAGTTGCATTTATTAGCAAATTTCCTCATGGGCTCTCAAGATGCTCTTCGCATAGACCGCTGTTTTGTTGACATGATTGACAGTCCTGAATGTGATGATTACTCGTGGGGAACCGCTGTGTTTCAGTTTACCCTACACTACCTGAAGAAATCAATCCAAACCAGAGAGCAGCTGCACATATCGGACAAGGATGATGGAAGAAACTTGTACCGGTGCTATGGTCTGATATTGGCTCTTCAGACATGGTTCTATGAGGTTTGCGACACGGCTGAGGGTGTAGTCGCAACCTACGTGGGTGTAAACAATATCCCGAGGATAATCAAGTGGGAAGTTCGGGAACCCTGTACTCGAAGTTTTGTGCAGAGGACGTTTTCTAATCTTGATCAATCTAAGGTAAAAAATAATTTTGTTCTTTATATATTTCTACATCTATCGCACTAACAAATTCTTTTTCTTCTTTATTGTGCACAGTTCAATAACATAGTACCCACCGAAGCTGAGAAACAGACTCTTCTTTTGGACTCATTCTTCAGAAAAAAAAAAATGAGTTCACTCGGAAAAAGATTCCGCCAACTGCCGCCACAGCACAACTTACCACTGATGATGATGATGTCATAACCCGGCTCAACACACTTACTGCCGAAGTCCAGAGTCTGAAGGAAGCCTTCTACGACTTCTCCAAACGGGTTTTTGCCGAATTTGATTTATTCAAAGAAAAATTCCTTGTAAGTCATTTCTTCATGTTCATTGCTTTTTTTTTTTTGAGCATATATTTGCTGCATATAACTCTCTCTCTCTCTATATATATATATATATATGGTCAGACTCTTCTGCATGTTTCTCTCTTTGGGTTTCTGATTGAATGTATGGTAAAACATTGATCGTCTCATTTAATATACTTAATTATATGATATGCTGCATGTTCCTGTGCAAGTACATAATGGGCTGCAGGTTCCTGAATGAAAAAAATATTTGGGTAAATATAACTTATAGTACGGTATATTTTCCAGCTACATATCCATGTTAATGTGCAAGTTGTTTCTTGTAAATATTATGGTATAGCTAAGTTACCTGTTCATTTGCAAGTATATATTGTTCCTGTGCAAGTATTTTTTAAGTTTTTTTATAGTATGTGCTCATATAATATGTGGTCACATATACCACACATATAAACTATGTAGATATCACTTTCTGGTATATCTATCTTATATTGGGTTCCTTAATAAGCCACATATATACCATGTTCATGTGACAATATATTTTAAATTATTTTTTAAGTTTTTTTATAATATGTGCTCATATAATATGTGGTCACATATAACACACATATAAACTGAGTAGATATCACTTTCTGGTATATCTATCTTATATTGGGTTCTGTAATATACCACATATATACCATGTACATGTGAAAATATATTTTTAAATAGTGTATAGTATGTTTTCAGATAATATGTGGTCACATATACCTCACTTAAATTCTGTTAAAGTATGAAATCTATGATGGACAGATAGTTGTTGAACTTAAATTCTAATATATCTAACTTATATTCTGATTTTTTTTCCAAGTCCATGTCACAGTTCCGGTATAAGTACATATTGTTCCTGTGCAATTGTTTTTTTTATGTATTTTTACAGTATGTGTTCATATAATATCTGGACACATATACCACATATATAACTGCTTTAAGATGTTTTCTTTTTTTATATCTGAACACATTAACATATAATATGTATTATCACGCAATATGTATTGTCATCTCAACACATTAACATTATAACATAGGGTGGTCCCAGTAAAGAGCAACACGTCGGTAAAGGGAAGACAAGTGAAGTTCGTATTGGAAGTGAAATGCCAGATGATAGTACTCACACATCCACCGGAAAAGAGACGGTTTTTTGTTCTCCGAATATATTTTTTATTGTCTATATCTCATTTCTAATGTTATTATATTACAGATGATAGTAACCATTATATTAACATTATTCAGTAACATTTTTTGTAATGTTTTGTTGTTTATATGTTTGTAGCCTTTTCAGATGCCATCTAATGTGAATGTTCAGACAACAAACGAGGTTGAAATTTAATTGTTTTTTCTTTCTACCTATAACATTAATTACATAATTATTTTTTTTTCTTGGGTTGTTGTTGTCCTAACATATCTCTTTTAATTGCAGATCCCTGTCAAATCTCCTGTAAGA